AAAAGGTAGGATTTGAAGGTCTTGTTTGCTCTTGCCCTGCTTCCACTGATGCCACTTTGTATAACCTTTTCCATAAACAGATCAATTTCCATGTTAGTAATAGATTAATTTTTTTAATCCTTCCCAGAATGGCAGCTGCAGGTAGGTTGCTCCACACTCTCACTGATTCTGAAGCTTAGCATCTTTCTTTTAACTTCCAGCATGAAGGTGTTTGTTCTTAGGCCAGCATTGTCCTTTGCCTTTGAGTTCTTCTCCCCCTCCACTGTAAGTTCTCTCCTTCACCCTAAAGCATATATTGTTGCGTCCTATCTTCATCTGCCCTACCAGTCAATCTGGTGATTTTTCTTGCAGCATAGACTGTCCCCTGACCATCCTAATCATCTTGCTGGGCCCTTTCAGGTGTGGGTAGGTCACTAGAATCAGATGCCTGATCTCAGCTGAGATCTTGTGCTCTGCACAGTGATGCTGGTACTTCTCCATCCCACTGGAGAGTTCCCTGTGATTTTTATTTGTCCCTTTTTGCAGACTTACCATGTTGATAATGACGAGCATCCAGAGATCAACCAGTTGATCTAGGCTTTTCTACTGAGCTCCACTGCTGGAAGGGGCTAACTGGAAATTCTTGTTAATCGTCTCTAGGTGCATGGCTGTGCATTTTTGTGTGTCCAGACTTCGTCTGATTTCTATTATATCAGGCTGGATGCTTCTCCAATTCCTTGTGGAAACTCTAGTCTTCCCTGCCTTGATGGTTCCTCCTAAAGGTCTGTGTAGTTCAGAAGTCAGTTTGGATTCCCATCAAGTGTAGATTGGTACTTGGACAAACTGCAGCAATTTTAACTTGTTTCCAAAATGTCTCTGACTTGGAACACATTTCTATTTTAACTTTAACCAGAAAACCAAACAAAATTTAGTTATGCAAATGCAGCTGATATTAGTCTAATGACCCTGCTCAACCCACTAGCTGATTTACAGATAGTTATCTTATCATCCAGCAACACAAAGTGACCAGAACTAAGGTTCATTGAGTGTTCAAGCTTTGATTCCCTATTTTAGTTATTTTTCCTTGCAAAATTATCACTCTGATAGTGAATTCACTCTGATGGTAGTGCTGAGCTTCTTTTTGATGGAAAGGTGGTGAGGAGGAAAGCAGAACATACATTTTTGTGGACACTGGCTTACTGTGGTAGTCCTTCATTAGAGATCCACGTGTTAGTCCGTAGCAGACCATTCTGATGGTACTCACGTTGCCAGCTCCTGAAGATGCTTGCTGTCATGTACTGTGCAGCTGGTCTTTCAGAATAAAGAAAATGAGACAGAAAAGCGTCCATACATGTTGTATAGCAGCGGAAGCAATTCTTAAAGAAGTGTCCTCTTGCTTGCTAACTTCAGAGCTGGCTTCTCGGCAAAAGGGATGGGGATTACAGCCCAGGGTGTCTGTAGCAGCTTCGCTGAAAGACATGTGAGAAGATGCTCTGTGTACTGAACTGAATCTCTGTCCACTAGGTTTGAGAGCACTGTGCAGGTTGGCAAACTGCAGGACCTTATCAACCGAAGTAAGATGGCGAGGTGTAGAGGACGATTTGTTTGCCCAGTCATTCTGTACAAGGGAAAGGTAAAGCTTCATGGGTTACCTGTCTTAACTTAGAAAATGATCTTTCTCCCTGCCGTTTGAACTGTGCAGCCATGTCTTCAGTCGGTTGTCACCTTTTCCAAATGCTGTAAAAATCTGTTCTTAGGTACAAGCAGGCAGCCTGTAGTAGTAGGTAGCGTTTGCTGTCTAGGCTGCATAAATCATCTGTGGGGACTTCAGGCTGTTTTACCTTGCCACGTCACGAGCATTGCACCAGAGAGCTAACATTTTCTCCATGTGTATGTCCCTTCTGAAGGACTAAAGGTATTTGGTCTTTGAGAGGGGAAAGAACTATTGTCACTTTCTGCCCCTTCCTCTTCCCAGCAGTGAGCTCCTTTTGAATAACTTTTCTCTCTAAAGAGGAGTTTCCCTTGTCTGTTCCCTGGGGAGGCAAGATTGCATAAATGGTCTTATTGATGTGTGGGCTTGTCTGCAAGGGGATCTGTAAGAAAGTGAAATTAAATTAATTTTTATGTGGATTACTTAAACTGTATTGAAGCCCTGTAGGAGTAGAATTTAAGTACCTTAATTCAGTTTTCTTAGTTCAATTTAAAACACTGTATGAATAGCAAAATCATACCTGTGACAGTTGTAATCTATCTTGACTGAAGCCATCGTGGGCTGAACCTGCTGACCTTTTTCTGCAGGAGTGAGCTGCCCAGAGTGGTACTGGGACCATCCATAATCTTATCCACAGGAATGTGGAAATAAGGCTCAAGCAGGGTATGAACAGAGCATGGGTGTTGCTGACTTGGCAGGAATTAACTGTATTAGTGAATTGGAGAACTGGAGATGAAAATGTGATTTTAAAAACAAGCTACGGATAAAGGCACTTGGGAGTTTGATATGTTTGGAGAACTCGATCTGAACCAGGGTTGCAGGGGAGACTGCTGACAGGCGGTAGCTGTGGGTACCAACCATTTCTGTGGAACGTGACAGCAAATAGGCCAGAGACCTGATAAGGGAAAGACTCCCGGAGCATGCACGGTTAATTACAAAATCTTCCTCCAGCATATTTGCAGATCAGCAACGCTGGCCGGCTGGGGAGAGCTCTATGGGCGCACTGGCTACAACTATATCTTCTCAGGTGAGTGAGGAGCCATTTGTCATGTCTGCCTGGTAAGGCTGGTCAGTGCTGGGACAGTGACCTACACACGAGGTCAAACTCTTCCTGAGAGCCAATGCAGAGCTCTAGCATGGACCTGCTTATATCAGGCCCTGCATAATAGAGCAAAGACTGAAATCTCGTGTCTGTTTCCAAGCACCGTACTACAGGACAGAGTGCCATAGCTCATAAGAAGCAGCAACAAAAGAATTTGAGGCTGAAGAGTGAGTTATGGGAAGCATGTAGGCAAGTAAGGCAGCCCAAAGGATTCAGGGTACTGATTCCCAAACTTCAGGGGTGGGAATAATGGAAGAAAGAGGATAAGAACGTGCTGTTGCTTGGCTAATGATTGGGAATCAAATCCTGCTAATGGTGAGATATACTGGACTCTATGGAAAGCTCTTCAGGAGAGTATTGGGTGCCTGTAGTGTGGGAGCTGGAGCTTGGCATAACAAAGCACTGTGGAGCACTATTGGGGTGTCCTTCTGGCTGTCAGTAATGGGTTTGACCTGCCTAGGTCCTTTGCAATGACAAGGGAAGGGTGGGCTACATTAGAAAACAGGCTTTCCAAGAAGAGGAAATGTGGGGAACTATTGAGAGCACTGATGTGTGGAGAGAGGGTGCCAAACCATGACCTTTTGGGACACGTGCACGTCTTTTCAGGTTGGGGATTGAGTTGGTTTACACGAGCTTCAGTTCTTAATGCTTTCCTTGCAGGAGGTTCTGATGATGCATGGGCAGATGCAGAAGACATTTCAGAGGAAGATTCTGCACTTAGGTTTGTATGCATCACTGGGATGGGGAAAAGGGAGTTTGGACCAGAGCCAACTGTCTCAGCTGCTCAATTCCGCTCTCTCCTAGGCTGGGCTTTGGGTACAGGCTTGAGACCATCACCAAGCTCACAGTCCTACTTTCCTTGCTTTTGAAAAAGAGTCTTGAATGCTACTGGCTGGCTGAACCCAGTGTAACTGAAGCCTGCTAATCTCTTGCAGAAGGGAAGGGCTAGAGACAGGAATATGTACAGCCATTTTAAAAGATGTTTGAATTACACAGATGTGTTTACTTCATCAAAAAGTACATCTCCAGGCTGGAGAAATTGTTCTGTATCTTACATGCTTATTGCAGAACAGAGTGAGACATGGGTAAGGACCCTAAGCACAAAGTTTGCAGTATCAGTTTATTGCAGTCTGACTCTGAGCTGTGGAGGCAAGGCTCGTGCTACACTGCTTATGACTAGAAGCAGTTCAGGGAAGCACTGTGGCAGTGTTGTGCAAAGAATCAGACACAACGTGATCAGTCTTCCATCCTCATCTTGCTTTGCCTTATTCTGTCTTGCAGAAATGCAGACTCCCAGCTGTTTGACAAGGTTAGAGGGCACGACATCAAGCTGCTTCGATACCTGTCTGTCCGATATATCTGTGACCTGATGGTGGAAAACAAGAAGGTGAAGTTTGGCTTGAAGTGAGTCTGGGTTCATTTGTTTTTCTGCAGGCTTTGGATTGCAGCTAGTGTAGCCCTTACATATGAATTGCTGTTGGGCATGCACTCAGCATCCTGGGAGCAGTCCCTGGAAGAGTACTACAGCAGAATGAGTTAGTTGATACTGTAAAGAGAACCTCAAGGTTTTAGGCCAGAGAAAGCTGTATTAGTGGGCAAGATAGCTGCTTTCGTCTGTCTTCGCAGTCTGAGTAGGTTTTCTCGGTAGAACTTGCGGTGATGTGACAGTCACCCCTTCAGAATGGGGAGAGTAAAGGAGCCCTCTGCTTGTGTATAGGAAGAGAGGGTGATGTTTCTCCTGGTATTTTTCTCAGAGGAAACCTTTAGTGTTTTTCAGCTATACCTGTTTATTTGGATGTGTTGAGTAAGTTCTACCTCTGCTCACTACTCAGTCAGGTCATTATGCAGGGAGATGCAACAGGTAGCTTTTTGGGTGCTAGTATCTCCGTGAAAAATACTCTACAAATGTCTGCTGTTTTCCTCTTGTCCTGTGCAGTGTGACGTCTTCTGAGAAAGTGGACAAAGCTCAACGTTATGCTGATTTCACGCTTCTCTCCATCCCATATCCAGGTACAGGACTGATGTCCAGAGGGACTCCCAAGGGACAGGTGACAATCCGTTTCTGGGGACTGGGAACTACCTGTGTCTGTGTGTGGTGAAATGACTGTGGCTTGCTGGATGGTTCCTATGCTCCCTCTGGAGAGATCTTTTAAACTGAGAACAGTGCAACAAATCTGGATGCTCTGGCAGTGTGAGTCAGCGTTAGGCACTCTTTGAGGTGGCAAAACAATTTCTCAGCAGTTCTAATTAATTCAAGCATGGAGAGAAAGTCCCAGGGGTGGAGCTGGGGTTACGATGGCCTTTGACACCCCTGGAATTCCAAACTGCTACTTGATGCAGAATATATGTCTTGCTCTGTGTTATGTAAAACCCCAATTCTTAAGTGTTTTCTAGTCCTAGTGTTCCAGAGCACCACTGTAAGATATCCCCAGTGCTCGATAGAACTCTTAACCTAAGCCTGCAATGTACGACTGAGATGCAAACCACTTCAGCCCATCTCCTTGGCTGTATTAGTCCCTGTGCCTAGCAACCACTGCTGGGTCACTTGCTGCACTCTTAAAGATGAGCTGAATATTGCTGCCTGCCTGCTGATGTCAGGCTCAGTGATAGGATTGGATGTGAAACTGCTGTGCTTGAGGTCTGTATGCAAGGAGGGACTCTTCTTTCTCTCTTGTGCACAAAGAAAGGGAGAAGGGGCGGGGGGGAAGCAGCAAAACTGTTGTGGATGATCCAAACCCAAACTTTTCCTTGATTACTAGTTATTGCCCTTAAACATATTTTCTTTTTTTAAAAAAGGTGTATTTCTTTTCATACAGAAATTAGTGACAATTCAGAGAAGCTGCATGAAGATTTCTATTGAGTGTGCTGTGTAGATTGCCAAGGTGTACAGAAATAAGAGTATTACTGTTTTTTGTAGCACATGGCATAGGAATATGTTGTTGCCGTATACCTCACCAAACTTAGAACATGAGAGAGACGGTGTACGCAGGTCTTTTGTAGGGTTTGTAAAGAATGAGGAAGAAGTTACCTATAAACTGTAAAGTTGTTACTGTGTGGGGATCTGCATATTGTATACAGTGTTCACTGATGGTACTTCCTCTTCTGCCATCTTGGACAGCTGCTTTCTTTTAGCAGCTCTTCACTACCATGCTAGAGGTAAACCTTAATAAAACTGGAAATTCTCCCTGCAGATGTTGCCTGATTTCAGCACTGCTGGTCCATAAGGGAATGTTGTCATTCTGTTAAATCTAAGGCATACACATCTAAGGATCAGCAACCCTTCTAGTGACTGGCCAAATGCTGTGGTACATTCTTATTAATGTTTCCAGGTTTGCATTGAAAGCATTTATGTTTTGTAATTTGTTTCTAAAGTTATTCTGAGATCCTCTTGTCTTAGGTGAGCAAGGCAGTGTCCAGACATAGAGT